AACGGTGCGTCTGCGTCTAAGACTTACACTCCATCGAAGCTGGCCCCTCCACCCAAGAACCCCAAACGCTGGTGGACGTGCTACTCCTCCTCGGTATCTCGCCTGTGCATTTAGGGCTTTGCCTTGTAAATATCTTAACATCTGTTTTCAAGAGCAGAGTCTGAGCCAGGAAATACCCACATGTTCCTGGAATTCTAATACCATTCAGGAGAGGGCAACCCAGAAAATGTTCTATGCCAACAACAAAGATGTATGCAAAAAAAAAGAGAGAGAGAGAACCTGTTTTCTCTCCAAAATACCTTCAATTCCCCTCAACTGAAGGTAAGGTGCTTCCACTTAATGCTCAGCTTTTAGTAACATCATGTAGTCACTGACAATCTCCAACAGCAACAGCCTGTACTTGCCCTTCTACAAGGGTAGTTTGGCGAGTGTCTATAGTGTAAATGTGGGGTGTGGGCACTCAGGAAGAAGGTGGCCCAGGGAAGGTTCAAAGGAAAGAAGGGTCTAAATAGAATAGCTGAAAGAGAACTAGGATTAACTGTATTCGTGTGACCTTTAACCTAACTGAATTTCCCCTCTTTTCCAAACCCACTCACACTCTGTCCACGCCTCTGACCTATCTAATACACTCTCTCTTGATTCCTTTTCTCTTTTTACTCAAGCCACCTTCTGATCTTTCTTTCTCTGTTACATTTTCTTGCCTCAAGACCTGAGTACCTACATACCTCACATGTCACTGTCACCTCCTTCAACTGGGTGAAAGGGCATTCCTCTCTCATAGAGCTACTCTTTAGCTAAAATAAATGTCAAGCCCAATCAAGACAGGCATAGATAGATAGATAGATAGATAGATAGATAGATAGATAGATAGATAGATAGATAGATAGATGTAGGCACTAAAAGAGGTCTTTTAGTAGTCTTTGCTCTGCTATATAGCCATTAACTCTGCTATATATATAGCCCCTAGCATTCTAAAATATTTTATTAGAATATCAGCTTAGGGGGCTGGAGAGATGGCTAAGAGGTTAAGAACACTGGCTGTTCTTCCAAAGGTCCTGAGTTCAATTCCCAGCAACCACATGGTGGCTCATAACCATCTATAGTGAGATTTGATGGTCTCCTCTGGCGTGCAGGCAGAACACTGTATAAATAATAAATAAATAAAATCTTTCTTTAAAAAAAGACTATCAGCTTAATTTCCATACCAAAGCTACTTTTCAAACAATAAAGCAGAAATCTCTGCATTATATTCTTGACCATTCCCAGTACATACTTTTGTGAAATCCACACTTAATGAATGTTCTTATTTAATCTTTTGGGAAGCTACGAACCCTAACCTACTCCTGCAGCATTCTCTAGTCTCTGTCCACACAGAGACACAACAGTCCCCACACATTCAAGCTCGCTCTCTAAACTCCTCTCTTTCCCCAAGAACAAATTCTGTTAAAGGCACAGGGGAAACAGAGAGCCCCAGGTCACACAATGATGCCTCTGTAAGAAAAGGTGGAGCTTTCGCTGGGAGGAGCGGAGGCGTTATAAATAGAAGTAAGGTGGGAACCTTTCTCCCTGGACCTCTCTCATCTTTATTCCTGGCCTCGGAGCTGATGTAAACCCCAGATCTTGGGGCTCCTCCAACTTGAGAAAAAATAGGACCAGGCCAATCCAAAAAGATAACCCGGGCTTTTACTGGAGGGGAAGATGAGCCCAGCTGCCCAGGTAAGGCAACAGGGCAGGGAGAGGGAGTCCTGGCTAAGGAGGACTGACTGGCAGGCATCACGTTAGGAGTCTGGAAGACACTCTCCTCTTGTCCTACCAAGACATTCCGAGGTCTCTTGGCTCTCTCTAGTCACAATTTGGACACTTCCATAACTGATTTTCTCATCAGAGATTTTTGTTGGCTTTGGGGGGTAGGGCTGGGGGAAGAGTACTGAACCCAAACTTGATACCATTTACTCCCTGAGCCAGGTGACAGCTCCACAATGCCAGGGTATGGTAAGGCAATGCACAACTATTATTCCAAAGCTAAACCAAACAAATGAGTAACAGAGACTATCACAGATGTGTCCCGCTGCCCAAGTTCCTTCCTAAGCTCTCGAAAACAACTAACTGAAAAGTCTTTCAGGGACTACTGGCCTCTCTGGATGGGTTTTATAAACGGGCTACTTTCCTGTACAGGAAAACATTCCCGTCGGGAGGCACAAGCTCTGAAATACAGCAAGAAAAGAAAGTGCTAAGAGCATCATTAACTCCCTAAGAGGTTATGGCCTAAGAACCATTCAAATTTTTTAAATGTGTGAAAAGATGACAATCCTACTTCTCAGCCAGGGTAAGAAGAACCTAGGTTCCTAAAGGCATTTAAAATATTTAGGTATGGCAGAGCAGTCACTTAAGTGTTTGACGCTAAAACCCAGAGTATCTGCATTCGCAAAAACTTTCCCAGTTAATGACCACTGCCTGCATAAACAAGGAACAGTCCTTAACCAAGAAACCAGGAGAAGCCAGGCGTGGTGGCAGGCAACTATGGCACGGGGCTCATGGTTTTCATCATCCTCAGCTACATTGTGAGCTCTAGGCCTGCCTAGGTTACATGACCTCACCCCTGAAAAAGAAGCTACAAGTAGACTTAGCAAGCACAAGGCCCAAATCCCTAGCACTTCAGGAAAAGTAGAACTTTAAGCTAGACTAAAGGTATGGCAATATCATGATAGATATTGGGAAGATGCTCTGAAATACTGTGAATGCACTGTAAAATGTAAATGCCAGGGTTACACTGTAAAATGGTGATGTCACAGAAGAAACCCTACTGAAACCTAAGCAGAAGAGACACGGGTAGGAGAGGGGAATCAGCAAGCTGCTGCCTTCCTTCTCTTCCCCAATGGCTCCATAGAGCACAAGATGGCCTTTGTGATCAGCTGCAGCTTACAAATTCCTTGGGAGAAATTCACAATTTAAATGGCAGAGGACTTAGCATTTCTGTCCCCTTACAAGCCTCCTATGAGAAAAAGTTCCCTTTCTCACAGTGTTCTCTTCTCTGGCTACCTATGTTTTCATTACCTGTTAAAGCAACAGAGAAGCTCAGCGCTACAGCAAATGCCGTCTACGCTTCATCCCCTGGCACTGCCAAAACTATTGTAATAAACTTCCATTTAGAAGACTAGTGTCAGCCAGGCAGCGGTGGCACACGCCTTTAAGCCCAGCACTCAGGAGGCAGAGGCAGGTGGATCTTTGAGTTTGAGGGCAACCTGGTCTACAGAGTGAGCCTCAGGACAGGCAGGGTTACAGAGAGACCCTGTCTCAGAAAACAAAAGAAAGACCCTGTCTGGAAGAAAAAAAGAAGAAGACAGAGAGAGAAACTGGTGTCATTCTCGTTAATCCTTACCTAATTATCACTAAGATCTTTCTCTGGCTCTCAGAAAAGGCATTAACCTCAGAGAAGCAGCTGAGTCACGAAGACAGAATAAGGGACAGGAAAGGTGGCTCAGGAGTTAAGAGATGCTTCTGTTCCTAGCACCCATGTCAAGTGACTCATGACCTCCTTCAACTCCAGTTCCACGGAATCTGATGCCTCTGGCCTCTGGGGGCACATAGATACATCCACACATAGGCATATGCTCATGTGTCACGCACGTGCGCATCTGCGCACACACACACACACACAGACTTAAAAATAAAAAGTAAATATTATAAAGAGTCCAGAGAGGGGCAGCAAGGGGACCCTAACTGAGGCCAACTTTGTCATTTTTGGAGAAAGGGAAGCTCTTGAAGGGCTTATTCTGGCCTCAGGAACACTTCCTGTATTTGCTGCTGACCTCCCTGGGTGATCTTAACAGGTTTAGAATCATTAAAAATAAATAAAGAAAGAAGATCTTCCCTCTTGTTTTAATCAGCCCCACTTGAAATATCCTTGATTTTCATAAAACTTGGATGACAAGCAGCTTCCACTGCTTCCTCACTGTACAGGGTCTATAATTGTGTTTATCTGCTCTGGAACCCTACATAAAGAATGTAAGCAACAGAACAAAAGGAACGCCTGATAACAAATTGACACCCTAAAATTAAGATCACAAGTCCTGAGATATGTGGGAAAGATAAGCAGCAGCTGTGCGCTCACTCCATAATGAGTGGAGAGGAGATGGGCGTGGTGGTGCGTGCCTGTGATCTCAGCCCCTCGGAGGTAAGAGTCCGAAGCCAACCTGGAGCTACCTGAGACCCTGTCTCAAAATGTGTGTGTGTGTGTGTGTGTGTGTGTGTGTGTGTGCGTAGAGGGGTGGGAGTGGCACCCAGGAGCACACAAGTTTGATGACAGGTCTCTCAGTGCTGCCGAATAGATGATCTATACCCACAGTACTGTCCTTGTTAGACAAGTTCTGCAGTTTCTTCTGGTAGTGGTGTCTCTTCCAGGACCGTGGGCCCTTGACAAGCATTTAACCACTGAGGCACACCCTCAGCCCCTTACGGCAACACTGCCATTAGCCCCCAAACCTAATACCCACTCCATGAGTCTCGAGGAGACAGGGCTCAATATATAAACTAAGATCAACCATCACAGACAGCTGGCAGCACCCAAAACAACCAGTATAAATAGAAACACTAAATAACACAAATCTGGAAATCTTTTCAGTATGGACAGATATTCAACACAATGTTTCATGATAAACCACTTGATCCCACGAATGGATACACTACACTTATCCTACTTCCTTATCCTCTCAGCTACCAGCCTTCAACACTCTCACCTAAAATACAACACACAGAAAGAAAGCTACCTGTGGAGGCTGGACAGATGGCTCAGCAGTTTGGACACTTGCTAACACACGTCCTCTTTCAGAGGACCAGACCTGGGCTGCCGGTGCCCACGTCAGGTGACCGTACCTCCTCCTTCTAACCTTCCCAAGCACCCATATGCAAGTACCAAAACGAACACATACATAAAACCAAATCTCTTTAAAAGAACATCAGTTCCCTTCTCCCGGCCTACTCTGCAGTTAGTCCGTCTTTACCTCTTTGCTTCTTCCAAATGACAGAGGTACTCATAGGCCACATTCTGCCGTCTCCTTTCATCCATCTCCTCTGCAGTGAGTCTCTCATTATCCAGGACAGCTAAAACAAGACAAGAGAATAAATTCTAAAGTCTGTACTTTTCCTCAGCAATAAACGAGGACCACAGTCCTCAAATTGCTACTAACCGCCTAGAAAAACAAGCCATGTGCTTTCAACTATACTTATATATATGTATGTATACACACACACACACACACACACACACACACACGTGCTGGTTTTGAAGAGGCTCTGAGTTCCTAGCACCCACATGGCTACTCACCAGCATATGTTATTTTAGTTTAAGGAGATCCAGTGCCCTGTCTCTGGCCTCCAAGGACACCAGGTATGGAAGTAACTGAAGAGCTCGCTGCACATAGGGGCAGCATTAACTGGACTTTTTTTTTTTTTTTTTTTTAAGAAGTCTGGGAGCTGAAGAAATGACTCAGCAGTTAAGAGGATTAGCTGCTCTTGCAGAGGACCTGGGTTCGATTTCCAGCACCCACATGAAGGCTCACAACCAGTTATAATTTCAGTTCCAGTGGGATCAGACATTCTCTTCTGGCCTCTGTAGGCACCAGGTACACACACAGCACACAGCTATCATACATGCAGGCAAGCCACCCAGACACATAAAATTTTTTTAAAAGAAAAGAACCAGGTATGATGGCACAACCCTGTAATCCCAGCACTTAGAAGGCAGAGGAGGGCAGATCTCTGAGTCCAAAGCCATATTGGCTTTTTTTTTTTTTGGCTTTTTTTGAGACAGGGTCTCTCTTGTGTAGCCTTGGCCCTCCTGGTTTGCTCTGTAGACCAGGCAATCCACTTGCCACTGGCTCCCTGAATAAGCCATACTGTCTTAAATAGCAAGTTCAGGCCAGCTAGAATTAAAAAGCGAGATCCTGTCTCAGATAAATTATTAGAGGGGAGAGAGATGGGAGGTAGATACAATCATATTTCAATTTTTATCTGTGTGAAGTTCTCAAGAAATCAGATTTTTAAATGTCTTAAATATACATGTACTACGTTTTCTTGAAGCCTCAGAAGGTACCAAGGGCTGTCCTGTTGGTCAGAACTAAACAGAGGGCATCATACTCTCCCTTCTTTATTCATAAACAAAGCCAGCCGATATCGGACTAAGCGGTTTATGTTCATTCTCCCACAAAAGCCCAGAACAAGCCTGTGATTACCACTACTTGACAGACGAGGAAACTGAGGCTGGATGAACTCAGGGCTAGGGCTAATAAAGGGGCCTACATTCAAATCCACCTGTCTCCAGGGCTTGTGGATATAACCTTAAAGCAACCTGCCTCCTCCACAGTTATGCCAAGGCATGACATGAATCCCTAGCTCCTGGGGAAGGTGATCAAAGCCATTCTCACTCTGGCCTCAACTACTTTTAGAAATACCTTTTACCCTTCTCCTTTCCCACTCAATTCAACACTACACTACAAGCCACTCAGTCTACGCACAGTCTACTGCACCGTTCAAATCTCTGTTCAAAAATCACCAACTGTGTTCCCACGGCCTCCCCAAGTCCCTTCTCTTCACCCTCATTACTCTTTACACCTAGTTAGTTCGTGCATCCTGCGTCTTTATTGCACCTTATTTTTTTTTTTTCCTTTCCTGCAGCTGAAGGCTGAACCCTTAGACTTGCCAGGAAAAGAACTCTACTACTGGGCTAAATTCCTAAACCCCACATCTTATTATCAATCGTTCATGCACCCGCCTCTCTCTGACAGTTTTCAAAGGCCCTGCTTGGTCTTAGTCATTCCCAATTTCACGAACGTGGCACACTACCAACACATAACTGCAGGTGTGTCAAAGTATCCTTTAAGAATGTACTTTTCCGGGGCTGGAGAAATGGCTCAGCGGTGAAGAGCACTGGCTGTTCCTCCGGAGTAACCCTGGTTCAATTCCCTGAACCCACACGGCAGCTCACAACTGTCTGGTCTGTAACTCCAGTGGATCTGATTCCCTCACACGGGTATATATGTATGTCAAATGTACATTAAAAAATTTTTTTTAAAAAATGTACTTTTCCCAGGCCATAAATAAAATCGAAACCCAAGACTCAAAGGGATCGGCTTGTAATTACTATCCCACGCACAGCTGGTGAACTCACAGGTGTTGCAGGGAGGGATGGCCTCAGAAAATGAGGAAGTCGGGGAGGGGGTTAGAGGTGTGTACGTTTTAATTCTACTTTTGAAATGCTGACCGGAGAACGCAGCCCGGGGAAGTTTAACCCGCAGCTAGGCTGAAGCCGCGCGGGTCTGCACCCCGGGTAACCCTCGCGGGCGGCGATCGGGGCAGCCCCTTCCCCACCACGCCCGAGCAGAACCCCCGGGTGGAGTGCCAAGGACACGCCCTGCACAATCCTCCTGCCACCTCACCCCAGGCCGTCTTCCCCAATCTCAGCAGAGCCGAGCGGCGGAGGCGCTGGGTGGGGCTCCGCTGCCGCAGCGCCGAGCGAAGGCGCCGGTTCCTCCCCGCCGCCTCCGGAGCCCGGGAAGGCTGGGACGCCGACCCCGCTTGCCAGGCTCACAGCCGGGCTGCTCTTCCGGGTCCGCACGGTCCCAAGCGCCCGCCCGGCTGAGCCCCCAGGAGGAGCCGAGCCTGGCCCCTGGCCCGCGCACCCCGAAGCCCCCGGCACTTACAGCCATAGTGCGGCCGCACCACACCTAGCCCGTCAACCTCCTCCGCGGCGGACATGGCGGCCGAGTCCGGGTATCCGGCGAGGAAGCGCTGAGACCTTGAAGACGCCGGCGACGGTAGCAGCGGCAACTCCTGCCCAGTGCGCGGGCTGTCGCTGTCCCCAAGGCCCCGCCCCGCGCCATCGGCCCCACCCTGCAGGCCCCGCCCCGCAGACCCCGCCCTTGAGGCCTCGCCCAGAGCGGGCGGAAGGGGCGTGGTCGCCTTGGCGGGACCCGCCCCTGCGCGCTTCGCCCTCCACTTGCGGAAGCGAGGGGGCGGAGCGAGGGAGGCAAGTCCTCAGACCGGCTCGGTCCGTTGTCCCCACGCTCCTTCGCGCGGCTCGAACTGAAAGGGCCGCCACCGTCGGCAGCTCGAAGTCCTAACGCTTTCGGCCGCCTGCCTTGCCCCGACGGCTGAGTTAACCCCCTCTGCACCGCGGCTCGTTGAAAGAGCCGTTTCAGGTCGCCCAGGGTGTTCTCGGTGGACGCAAATAGGACCCATACTGATAGGAAAGGCTTCCACCCCTACTGTCTGCCAGTCTGTCAATCTGGCCTCTGTTCTCCCTAGCAGTGCTAGAGTCTAGAACCGCTCAGTATCTTAAGATCGGGGAGGTGAAGATGCTGAAGCGGGAAAGCTCTTCTTTGCAAGCTCTTAGGGGGATCTTGACCCTGTTAGGTATGCCCCTTCTTGTTGCCCTTGTGATCAGTATCATTATTCAACCGAATTCTATCCTGAGCCTCTCTCTCATCTCTCTTCCCTACCCATCCCCCACCCCGTCTCAGTAACTTGCCGGGCATAGTGGTGCATGCCTATAATCAGCCCATATTTGGGAGGTTGAGGCAGAAGGATCAGCACGAATTGGAGGCCAGCATGGATTTCAGAGTGAGCCACTGCCTCCAAAAAATAATAGTAATTCAAGTAAAGTCTCATTCTCAGTGACCTTACGCTCACCATAAACCACTGATGGCCTCTACAGACAGTCCAGGCCGTCTGGAAGCCTCTCAGTAATTTCAAGCTATCTAGCACGCACTTCAGCTTGAATGTCCCACAGACACTAAAAGCTTCCCACGCTGAACGTTGATCCTGCTCCTCCTCCATTCTCTATTCGCTCACCAGTCACACACACCCCAGCTTTCTTGCCTCGACTCTGTTTCTGAGGCATCTAGTTTTTGTTTCTGTCCCCACCTGCGATAACACTGTTTACATGATCCTAATCTCTGTTCTCATTTCTGTGAACCAGATTGCCAGCATCACCAGTGTGTTCTTTTGTTCTTTCCAAAACACAGTTCTCTTTTCTTTTTTTTTTTTTGGTTGGGGGGAAGTGGTGATGAGAAAAGGTCTCACTGTGTAGCTCTGGCTGTGTCCTGGAACTCACTATGTAGACCAGGCTAGCCTTGAAGATCTACCCACCTTCTGCCTCCTGAGTGCTGGGACTGAAGGCATGTGCCACCACACCCAGCTCCAGAGCTCTTGTCTTGGATGTACTTTTTCCCTGCTCTCCCCTTCACAAATATGGTTCAGGTCCCTCAGCATGCCAGACGAGCACCTTTGCAACCTGATTCCAGCCGTTTTCAATTTGCTGACTCTTCCTTACAAACATCCTTCTTAGGCATGGCGAGGCAGAGGCACGCAGATCTCTGTGAGTTCAAGGTCAGATTAAGCTACATAGGAGTGCCAGGACAGCCAGAGCTATGTAGAGAGGCCCTGCCTCAAAAATAAAATTAAAAACTTTAAAACTTCCTTTATATGGTGCCAAGGATACAGCTCATGCCCTGACCTATGCTGGTCAAGCCCTGAAAAAGATACATGACAATCTGCAAGCAGCTGGAGCTCACCAGTATTCTCAGTACTCCTGGGGCAGAAGCAAGAGCGGGGTAGGCAAGTGGGTACAAGACCCTGTCTTTAAATAAATAAATAAATAAATAAATAAATAAATAAATAAATAAATACATAAATACATAAATAGGGAAAAGAAAACCTATAAGGGGTGAGGATGCAACTCAGAGGCAAAACACTGGCCTAGCATGCATGAAGCCCTAGGTTTCATCTACAGCAACACATATACATAAAATATGCAGAGGTTTATCATAACTACTCTTAAGTTATTTTTTCAAGGTGTTTTGTTTTTTGTTTTTGTTTTTTGCTCTTTTGTTGTGTGTGTGCGAGGTGATAGTTTTATTGATTTGTTAAAATGAAATCCAAATATATTGGCTATTCCTTGCCTGGAGCCCTTGAGCTCAAGCAACCCCTCTACCCCAGGCTCCTGCGCAGCTGGGGACCTCAGGTGCATAGCAGAGCACCAGGTCATCTTTCTCAGGCCTTTAAACTCAACTTACAAGTTTCATCCTTTGTGGAAGTCCAGCATGTTTGGTTCTTTTTTTTTGTTTGTTTTTTGTTTTTTTACAAGTCACTTCTTAAACATTTTTTAAATGTTATTTGTTGTTGTTGTTGTTGTTGTTGTTTTGAGACAGGGTTTCTCTGTATAGCCCTGGCTGTCCTGGAACTCACTCTGTAGGCCAGGCTGGCTTCAAATCTCTGCCTCCCAAGTGCTGGGATTAAAGACATGTGCCACCATTGCCCAGCTTTAAAATCTGTTTTATATGAAGAGGGCTTTTTTTTTTTTTTTCAATTTTATTGTTTTGTGTATGAGTGATTTGCCTATATGTATGTGTGCCATGTGGGTGCCCGATGCCTGAAGTCAGAAGAGGATATGGGATCCCCTCAAACTGGAGTTACAATTGGGAACCAAACTCACATCCCCTTAACTGCTCTTAACTGCTGAGCCATCTCTCCAGTCTCCATGAATGGGTGTTTTGTCTATGCGAATGTCTCTGTACCATGTGTGTTCCTGGTGCCCTCAGAGGTAAGAAGAAGGTATTGGCTCCTCTGGGACTGGAGTTCTAGCCATTTGTGACCCATGTGGGCACCGGGAATCAAACCCACGTTCTGTAGAAGAATAGCTACTGCTGCTCTGTCTCTGAGCCATCTCTCTAGACATCACAAGTAACTTTTGGAAACCAAACACTTTTGGTTGCATTCAGTAACTTGGTTACTTCTGTACCCTCAAGCACTTAAAATAATGTCTATATTTGATTTTCTTTTTAATTCAGTTATCTAATGGCAAGTAGGGAACCACCTATAGGTTAATAAAAGGGTCACATGGGACAAGGGGACAGGTGTCTTCCTATGTTAGGATGAAGTTGTTTTTATGTGTAATTCCAGGTGTGTCATTTATGAGGTTCGAAGGAGGGCAGTCCAGATCCGATGGTGCACAATTCTAGGTGTGATCCATCTTGAATGTAAGATGGCTGCCATCTCTGCAATTAAAATTAGGGCAGTCCTCGTCCAAGGTCACTGAGTGTGGGGATGAAGTGCTTTAGAGCCATTCCAGCCTGGCTTGGCCTCCATTGTGATTTCCAGTCTGAGGATTTGCAGAGAGACAGAGCCAAAGTTTGTGTTAACAGGTCTTTGAGATGGTGAGGAAAGGCAGTTATTGGCAAGCCTCAGAGCCTGGGTTTGAGGCCCAGGTCCTCCACGGTGGAGGTGGATGGAGAACAAGGACTCACACTCTGTGAAAGTTATCCTCTCAGCTCCACGTGGGCAGTGGGGCATTGTGCAGGAGCACGCACAAGCCTCCATTGTTCCAACATGCCAGCTCTGTTCGCCTTGGAGACCTGCTGCATGTCAGGTGTCTCAAAGGGAGACTCACACCCTCTTCACAGGATTTTCAAGAGCCAGGGAGAGGTCACTGGGTGCCTTCGGAAACAAGCAGCTTTCCAAGATACCTGCACCTATCTTGAGGGTCAAAGCCTTTCCAGGACACCCTGCCATTCAAAAAGAGAAGAGAACGCCCCATCACCCTCCACCCTTTTCATTGCTGTTGCCTCACAACTTTTGTTTCTTCTTTCCTTGTCATGGTCTTGATTAAAGCTCTTCTTTGCAGCAATGGCTCCACTGAAAATCATCTCAGCTGCCTAATTCTGTAACCTACTGAGCGGCATGAAACTATCTAAACTCATCTTTTTACCTCATTGGCATGAGCCCACAGACGGGCTGCCTATATCGAGTATTTTTTAATCTCTTTCTCCCTTCTCCACCCCAATCCCTTCCAGCACCCCAACAACACCAGGTAGGAGAGAAAGAAAGTTAGTGAGGAAGAGAAGAGTAGGTCTCTTAGCTACTTCCTACTGTTCCTTGGACAACTCTAATTTTCATTTTAGAATATCTCTAACTTCTTCTTGTCAAACTGCATCAACAGCAACCAGGAGCAACAGGGGGAAGAGGGGAACAGCAGCTTTCTTCTATCTCAGACCCCCCCCACACACACACACACAGGCACACACTGGTATTCATATCCTCTCAGAGTTTTCAGAATTAAACTATCTGCAACTGGCAAATATCACCACCCCCACTTCCAGCACAGTTAACAGCTGTGAACAAACTAAAGCAGCTCCATACATCTGGGATTAAAACACAAACATGTTTAGATAACATCACTGGGCTCTTAAAGACGCCAAAACTTCCACTATAGCTGCTCTTGCACTAGATGCCAATTAAGAACAGAAAAATGCAAAACTGTGTTATAGATAATGGCCCGGGTCATATAACAGCTCTAGTTACCACCCAATATGGTGGTACATATATATTTTTTCCTTTTTTTAAAATTTTTTCACTTTGTATCCCAGCTGTAGTCCCCTCCCTCTTCTCCTCCCTCACCCCTCCCCCAGTCCACTGATAGGGATGGTTCTCCTACCTTTCCCTCTGATCTTAGCCTATCATGTCTCATCAGGACTGGCTGCATTGTCTTCCTCTGTGGCCTGGAAAGGCTGCTCCCCCTCAGGGGGAGGTGATCAAAGAGACAGCCCTTGTTCCCCTTACTAGGGTTCCCACTTGGACATTGAACTGCCATGGGCTACATCTGTGCAGGGGTTCTAAGTTATCTCCAGGCATGGTCCTTGGTTGGAGTATCAGTCTCAGAAAAGACCCTGGGCCCAGATTTTTTGTTGCTTTCCTTGTGGAGCTCCAGTCCTGTCCAGATCTTTCTATCTCTTCCTTCTTTCATAAGATTCCTTGCACTCTGCCCGATACATATATATTAATCATAACACTTGAAGGGACAAGACAGGAGGATAACAAATT